TGTTTTACCACGTGCCTCACCAACTCCACCCCAAGATCTCACCGGGTGAATCCCTCCTCCTGCCCAGAACGGTCTCCAGTGCCCCAGCACCGAGGCACCCCAAAAGCTGGGCCAGGCGTTCTCCCGTGCGAGTGTCTTGCAAGGCCCACCCCAGTCTGGCAACGGCAGCGGCCCTTCTCTTTGGGGGCGGCCGTACCTGGCCTCCGCCCAGGCTCCGTGCTGTGGCATGAAGACGCCGGGTCTCCTTGCACGCCCTGCCCCCCCCCCCGAGGCGGTGCTGTCCTCGAGTTTCTGCCTGTCCCTGGTACCCTTGGCTCGGAACGAGGCCCACAAGGCCCAGGAAAGCCCCCCAGGCCCACCCACAGAGCAAATGGCAGCATCCCAAACCAGGAGTGGGCAGCCCAATCCCACCCTGTCTCACGCCCCCCCAGTGAGGAAAGGGGGGGGGCAAATTATAAGCCCAAGGAAAGAGGGAGGCTGGGGTCTCTGAAGCAGAGCAGCCCCCTCCCCAACCGGTTCCCGTAGCAACAGAGCCTAAATAAAGCTCCCCGCAGGGCTGGGGCGGCCTTCTCTTCCAGGTTGTTGTGCCCCCCCCCCTCCAGAACGTCTCCGTGTCCAAAATTAGCTCCGCTTCACAAAAGCCGCGGCAGAGGCAACCTCGCTGTCCTGATGACAGATCCACACCGGAAAGTTATATTTAACCGCTGATCCCTCCTCAACCACCACTCTGGAGAGCCTATCGGCCCTGGCAGGGAGGGAGGGAGGGAGGGGGCACCACAGCTGCTTCCGCCACAGGCGCAGGGGGCAGCCCGCCTCCATCAGGGCCCCGTGATGCCCCCTGGAGCCGCCAAAGCCGGGCAAGAGCCGAATACCAGACAAAGAGGTGGAAGGGAGCTTGGAGGTCTTCTAGTCTAACCCGCTGCTCAAGCAGGGAGCCCTGGGCCATTTCAGACTGATGGCTGCCCAATCTCAGGCCGAGGAGGGGCCGGGCAAAGCCCCAAAGGGCACCAGGGCAGAGAGTGCCCACCCGCCCAGCAAGAGCACCCTGGAACTGAGGCTCAGAGATCAAAGCCCAGCAGCCCGGCCTGCTCTCCCCGCCCCGCCAAACCAGGGGCCCCAAAGGCCGGCTCGGCTCGGCTCACAAGGAGCCTCGTGGCCGGCCCCTCGGGGGGCAGAGCGAGGACGTCGGCTGCTGGGCCCTTGGACGGCTAAGCCAGCGGGGCAGAAGCCGAGTTGGGGGCCCCGACGGAGAAGCCAAGGGAAGACCGCCCTGTCTCCCCTCACTGGGGCCCTGACCTCTGCGACGCTCGAGAGAGGCCGCCTCGCAGGGCGCGGCCATGCCCTCCCCAGCATCCCTCCCCCCACCCCACCCCCAGAAAGGGAAGGATTCAGGACGATGGCGGTGGGGTGGGGGGGAGGGGGAGGGGTCCTTTCCAGAATCCCATAGAACTGGAATTCAATTACAGAGGTAAACCCAATTCATACATCTTCACATTCCCACTAATTGTGCAATTCAATTAAAGAACGGGTGGGCCAGGAACCCCATTACGCCAAGCAAGCAGCCTCCCCTCCCGGGACCCCCCCCGCAGGCTCACAGGGGCTCCTCCACTCAGCCCGCCCCACGTGAGCGTTTCCTCCACGTGTGGCACCTGCCCCCGTGAGGCATCTCCCCCCCCCCCGCCCACCCAACAGGAGTGGGAGTTTTAGCACATTAACATGTTTAAATATCAGAGGCTCTGCAACGAAGACTCTCATTTTCTTGTCTTGTGCAGTTGACTTTAGGATTAGTTAATTATAAATAAGATTGCAAGTCGCGGCATCGCCGTATCACGCCCAGGCGGCACGAAGGAGCCCGTGGGCTGCCCGGTCCTGCGCACAGCCGAGGCGCCTCCTCCGCTGCCTCCATCTGGCCTCTGTGCCAGCCTTTGCCAAGGGGAAGGGGCGGGCGCCAGGAGAGGAAGAGATGGCATCACCCCAATGCCCGGAGAACGAAGGACACAACGAAGCCCCATGGGAGAAGCTCCTGCATTGGGGGGGGGGGAGAGGCTGCGTGGGAGGAGAGGAGACTGGTTGGCCAGATCCAAGGACCAGGATCAGTCCCACCCTGGCCAAGAGGCCCCGTCAGAGACCCTGCGGGCGGAGAGGAAGCAGGTGGGCCAGTGTGGGGGACTGGCAGGGGCATGCCCCCAAACATATGGGATGGCTGGCAAGGAGCAGATGCCCCTTCCCACCCCACTGCAACTCAAATGCTGGGTTCTTCAACCAGGCGGAAGGGGGCATCTGGGCTTGCCCAACCATCAGCCCCAGCAGCAGGCAGGGTTGGGGGCCAGCCAAGGCCGGTCCAGGGAGGGAGCCCCAAGATCCGGGAGGGGGTTCTGGAAAGCAGCCACAGCATCAAATGGCAGCTGGCAGAGGGACCCCCGTGGGCCGGGGAAGTCCTCAACTCAGAAGGAGGAAGCTTCAGGCTCTCCGACCCACAATGCACCCCTCCCCACACCCACCCACAAAGGCCCTGGGTGCAGACTCTCCCCCTCCCCAGGAAGAGGCCCACAGACATCATGAACCCAGGAATGAATGCTACCACCCTGCCAGGTCAGCACTTTGCCCAGGCTTCCTTCCTGCTGCCCTCCGGCTGCTTAGAGCCGCGTGGCCTCCCTGCCTCTCCTCCTCTCCGGTGGGTCTGCAGGAGAGGAGGCCCATCCCCGTCCCTCTGAGGGGCCCGACCCCCCCCCCAGCCCTGCAAAGGGAGCTGCGCAGGGTGGGAGTTTCTGCTGCCAGGTGAGGGGGGGGCATTCAAGGGTACAGGAGGAGCCGGGAGACAACCCCGGCCAGGGAAGGAAGGAAGGAAGGAAGGAAGGAAGGAAGGAAGGAAGGAAGGAAGGAAGGAAGGAAGGAAGGAAGGAAGGAAGGAAGGAAGGAAGGAAGGAAAGAGAAACCCCAGCTCGGTCCCGGGATAGAGACGCCAAATAACACCCCCCACACACTCTGTCTGGGCAAGAAGGCGCCGGGAGAGGCTCCGAGAGGCTCCCGGGGGTCTCAGCGGTGTTGGTGGAATCCTGGTAGGGGCTGCCCCAGCCTGGCTGGCCTTCAGGACCGGATCAATCCCTCAGTCAAGGCATTTGGTTATTTGGAGTGACTCCACCTTCTCACAACCCCTCCGTTAATGCTTCCTTCCTTCCTTCCTTCCTTCCTTCTCTCCCTCCCTCCCTCCCTCCACTCAAGGTCACTTCTCCATTCCTTCACCCCCGGGAAAGAAAGAAGGGCGTCACCAGCTATGAAATCCAGGTGCTGAGAGCAGTTTCTGTGGCCACTCATCTTCCTTCCTTCCTTCCTTCCTTCCTTCCTTCCTTCCTTCCTTCCTTCCTTCCTTCATCAGGGCTGAATGAGTCAACAAGCTAAAGAGGCTCCAGCTCCAGACTCTGAGGAGACCCGGGCAGAGCAGCAGCACCGGGTAATGATCCCCACCACCAGGCCAGGCGGGGGGGGGGGGATGGAAGTGCCTGGCGGGCGTAATCCGTGGGCTAAAGGCCGAGGCAGTTCTGTGGGAGAACCCAACTCTTTGGAGAGCGGATCTCCTGTCTTCGGGAAGGGTCCCGCGTGGGCCTGGGGCGGTGGCCGCTGGGGGCCGTGTAGGAACACCCCATAGGCTTCCTCCCCTTGTGGGCCCCAGGCCCAGCCTGCCCTGCTCCTCTGCCTCGGGGGCCTCCTCCGGAGGAGGAAGGGGAGCACCCAAACTGGGGGGAACCCAAAGAGAAGACCAGGGTGACATCCTGAGAGGTTACCTGGGAAGAGGGGGAAGGGGGCGTGGCCCTTAATGAGGTCAGCTCCACCTCCTGGGGGCGTGACACCCCCCCCCGCCCTACCTGGGATGAACTGCCAGAGAGGGGTGGGGAACAGGCTCCATTTACCAGAGGGGGGGACCACGTGGGGCAAGCGAGAACTTCTGAGACGGTCTGCTCAGCCCGGCTGTGCCGAGGTCCCCCACCAGATAAGAGATGGGGGTGGGGGGGGGCGCAGAAGCAAGCATCCTCTGCCAAAGCTCCCTCCCAGTGGAACCAGCTGCCCCCAGAAACCACAGCAGCATTTAGGAAAGGGGTCCCTCCGGCAGCCATTCGGGGATGAGGGGGCTGCTGACCTGTGCCTTCGGGCGGGGGGCTGTTGAGAACTGCTCTTCGTGGAGTTGAATGGTGGGAGGTGGGCTAAGGTGACCCAGGACTTTTATCTTTCGTGGCCTGGGAACGTCTGTGGGGGCCACGAGGGCCCCAGGACCAAAAGACGGGCAGCTTCTCCTCGGGGGACTCCCAGCGGGGGGCTGCAGGGCCCGTGTGCTTCAAAACAGACTCGGAGTCGGCCTTAGAGCATGCACAGAAGGCTTTTGTCCCTGGGGCTTGCCCTGCCGGCCCCTGGCAAGGCCTCAGACATAGCAAATCAAACCCCCCCATCTTACTCCCAGAGACGAGGAGGTTCCCCCCCCCATTACTCAAAGCAGAGACCAGCCATCCGCAGAGCCTTGGGGGAGGCCGAGCGGGCCAGGCTATGGGGGGGGGGGGCGATGGCTGGGAGACCAGGATCCCTTCAGGCCGCTGCATTATTAATCTTACTTCCTGTCTGGAAGCTCTTCAACCGTCCGCAGTCAGCCGCACAGGAGTCAACGTGGCCCAGGTGCCTGGGTGGGGGTGGGGGGATGGGAGGCTCCAGGTGCATCCGCACCCAGGGCTTCAATGCGGGTCCAAGCTCTCCGAGATAGCGGGGGTGGTGTGGGGCACCCTTATCAGCTCAGGCAAGCGGGTGCCCCACGGAGGGCCCCACCTGGCATCCCATCGTTCAGCCCCTGCCAGACGGAGCTGCCCGGGATGCCTCCCGGGTGCTCCTACCGGGCCTCTCCAGACCGGCCGCTCCCCTGCCCATCTCCTCTTTGTCACTTCCCCAGCCGGAGCCCCCACCTGCCCCCCCAGAAGGCGCCTCCCCGCCTCCCCTCCCCCCCCCGCTCGCTCGCTCACCGGCCAGCAGGAAAGTGATCAGGCAGGTCTCCTTGGGCAGGTAGAGCTTCAGGCGGGATCCGCTGAAGACGTACTCCACCACGGCCTCCGAGCGGCCGGCCCGCTGCAGGAAGGGCAGGAACTGCTTGGCCTTCTGGGTGTCCTGGGGGGAGGAGAGGCTGGTGAAGGGGGGCTGGGGGCTGCCTGGCCCTGGGGGGGGCTGGTGCTGGGCCTTCTCCCAGGAGATAGAGCAGGAGGGAAGCTGCAGGCGTGGGGGCCGGGCCACGGAGGTCAGGGATGACACACACACACACACACACCCAGAAGGAAACTTTATGGGACAACCCTTGCTAGGGGAGGGGGGAGGGGGCATAACACACTTCTGCTTCCCGCTAGGGTTGCCCCACCCACTTCTCTCCGGAGGATAGCCCCTCCGGCCCCTGCCTGGGTGGCCATTTGGGTGGGGGACACCGAGGCTCCCCTGAGGCCCTTTCCCCACAGACAGGCCTTTGGGGCGGTGGCCAGAGCTGGGCAGCTGAGGTCAAGGGGCTCTCCCGCCAGGACAGAGGCTGCCTTGGAGGGCCTGGGGGGGGTGAGTGGCAGGGCACAGGCCCTCCTTTGGCAGCCCTTCCCTCCCTCCCCAGCCCAGGCGGGGGCAAAAGGCTTGCTCCTCTTTGAAGCCCTCCCCATCTTAATTATCTGCAAATAGAAAGGAAATTGTGCATCGACTGAATGAAGGAAAATGGAATCATAACTCCACATTATGTGAGCGGCTGCCAGTTATGCAAAATGAGGCGAGGTCTCGGCAGGGGGAGGGGGCTCTGCGGGCCTCCCCTTCGCTCCATGCCAGCCATCAAGGGAGGCTGGGCCTTAAAGCGGAGAGCGAGTGAGCAGGCATTGGGAGTTGAATTATTTAGCCAGTGACTCTGGGGTGAGACTGCCCACCTTACGGGGAAGGAGAGGACACGCAAGGCAGGCAAGCCTCCCCCCCCGTTCCCTTTGGGGAGGGGGGGCAGGAGAGCGGCTTTCGGGGAGCTCATCAGCCCCTCGGCCGCTGGCGCAGCGCTGCTCTCCTCCCATTGGCCCAGGCCCACTGCCCCAGTGCAATAAGCAGGCAGGCGGGGGGGGGCTGTTTTGTCAACCCTCCGTTCTGGAGGTCAGTGTGGAAGCAGCCCGGCTGGAAGCCCCCGGCCCAGCCAAGACCAGGCTCTCCTGCGGGAAGTTGGTCAGTTGGACTTCGGCAGCGGCCATCTGCCTGCAGGGGCAGGAGAGCCGCGATCCTTCCCACTGTCCCAGCCCCCGTCCTCTCTCCCAGGAAGGCGGCTGGGGCCAGCCGAGAGGGGCTCGGAGGAACGGTGTCCCCAGGCCAGCCCACCCCCCCCCGAGCAGGAGACCCCTCTGGAACCAAAGAAGTAGCAGCCTCATGTGGTGGATGCCTCCCCGCCTGGCCATGTTGCTCAGCCGCAAGGGTTAGGGTTAGGGTTAGGGTTCCTGGGTCCCCCTTGCTGGACAGAAGAGGAAATCAAAGGGGGTCTCAGGCCCCAAACTCCTGGCAAGAGCCCCACGGGGTAGCCTGGGCCAGGAGATCCCTGGGCAGACCAAAATCGCCCTGTGTTGAGACTGGCTCTGACCACCTGTGCTGGGGAAGAGCAGGAAAGACAGCCCCTCGCCAGGCGGCTGGTTCAGGGAGGGAGTGCTGGAGCAAGCGAGGGAGGAAGGAAGGCGAGGACAGCCAGGGCCTGCTGAGCCGCCCCCCCCCCCGCCCGAGACCACTGCCTGCCTGCCAGGCCAGCATCCCAGGCACATGGCCAGAGTCCGGCCAGGAAGAGCCCGGAGGCTGCTGCTGCTCCCACTGACCATAAGGTCTCCGCCAGGCCAAGAAGGCAACGGCTTCCTCTCCTCTGCCAGGGGGCCGAGCCATGGGCACCAAGGGGGCAACTGGCACAAGCCTGCCAGCTCTTCCGGAGCAGGGAGGGCAGCTGCTTCCCCCCAGGATGGACAGTGGGGGAAAAGGAGGAGGAGGAGCAGACCCAGAGCACCCCTGGACCCCACCCCAATCAGCCGGCCCCCCAGGAGCGCTGCTTACCCCGGAGATGTCGGCCACTCGGTGGATTGGGACCTCCTTCTTGCTGTGCAGGCCTTTGCCGTTCTTGACTGCCCTGTTGGGGACAAGGGAGGGTCAGCAGCACCCAGGAACTCCACAGCACCTGCCCGCTCTCTGCCCCAGAGCCCCTCCCTTCCCTCTTAGTGGGGGGGGGCCCTCTGGGGCTCCTGGCACCCTGCAGCCATGGTGCCAGGGGCTCCACCCTCTGGGGGCACAAAAGGGCCCAGGTGGCGTGATGGGCAGAAAGCATCAGCCGGGGGCATCTGAAGACTAAGAGGCGCTGACTTCCAGGGGGGGGGGCTGCCTGGCAGGAAGCTCTGGAGGCAGGCAGGGACAGCAAGCCCCAAGAGCCCAAAGCCCCACGTCTGGTTTGGAGAAGGGGGCAGGGGGCGGGAGGCACCCATGAGACACCCCACTCACTAAGTCCGAGAAGAGCCCGCCTGTCTCCGGGACCCAGAGGTCAGCCCGTCCCCAACCCCGGCAGGGCACTGCCCCCTCCTCTGGGCACATCCCTGAAGCCTCTGAGAAGGCCGGGGACCCCCCCCCC